AGAAATTTTCCAGTCATTAAATTCCACATCTAACTTTAATTTGTAGACCAATAAATGAAATTCCTAGCATGAACATGATCATAGATAGATATTACTGACTTGGTGCAAGAGACAAGGAAGATCATCACAATTTTCTAGGGGTCTGGATGGATGAAGGAGGGGGTTTGCACAGTGCAACAAAAGACAGCACAGAAAGTGAGGCTGTGCCCACACTTGAAGCCAGGACTGCAGTGCACAGGCGTGCTTGCGTTGGCACCCAGAGTAACAGCAAAGATGTCAAGGGCTGCTTCACCTCCTTGAGTGGCACACGATGAATAGCATCTCTACATTCTGTGAACTACCAAGACTAAAGCTAGCTCTGGTATGACTGAGCCACTGCTTCACTGAGACTCATCATGGAAGGTATCTTTGAATGCCAAGTATGCCAGATTTTTCTTCCTTCCTGGAATAGTGCAGGAGAGGAAGTGTACCTAAACATTGGTATTTAGCCTCCCTTCCCCTATTTTACCAGGCTCCTAAAGATGCCACATTTAACCTTATCTATCGTACGCTTATTTCTGAACCAAACCATTTTTTATTTAAACAGTGTAAAGTAGGAGGACTCTTTAGCAAAGAATACCTTGGAAAAGAAATTGTCTTAAACTGTAATCAGGTATCATCACATAAATATTAATGAAAATGTTAAAACAACATAATCTATTTCTTCTCCAAAGTGTGTTTCTCACTAGAATCATACTAGGGAGAGTGGCAGATTTATCATCTTCGTTTTCTATAGTAACCAGAACCCCCACACCAAACCAGCATCTTAACTTTACTACAAAGCAGTACTCCTCTTATTTGCTCTAAACAATTATAACAGTGATGCTTACAGAAGTACAATAACGTCAAAATCACTTGGTCATCTTTATGAAATTTATAGATTCGGTGCATCCACAAATCTATATTCAAAATGTGTATTGCATGTTTACGGTATGTAATGCATACTTGCTTCATTTACAATTGCAGACAACAACAACAGCATATGCAATAAGAAATTGTTAAGCAAAAAATACCCTGGTAATCAGATGACCATGAAAATTTAAGCCTCTTCAACAATTAACATCTTTCGTAACACTGCTAAAAGCATTAATGAAAATTGAAGTGTGAAAAATGTACATTCTTTATTCTGCTGTTTAGTTACAGAATAAAATTTAACTTTTCAGAAAATAAAACTACAGCTACAGCTTTAAGAGCTGTCCGTTTGCTTTTGAGGATAAAGTACATGCACTTTTTCCAGTTACTTTATTGCACATAATGTACAGTCATAAATGGTGTTTTATTTACATGTGTTTTGGCAATGTCCATGTTTGTTTTCCCCCTCAGAATACATTATTTTGCACAAACAAAACCTTAAATGTTTCACACAAACTGCCATATAATACAAGTCAAAGCATATATGTATATATGTTGTTTTGTTGTTGCTGGTTTTTTGTCAATTAATTCTTCTAAGAGTTTCAGATCTTGGTTAATCTTTGCCTCGGGAGTCAGATTCCTCCCAGTTAGTCTGTTGTCAAAGACGGACATCCGAACTGCTGGCACCAAGAAATTAGCACTGCAGCCTGCTGTGCCCAACACCCACCTCCTATGCAGAACCATACCACCTGCAATTAGTGCGCAGGCACATAGAAGGAAGAGCACTGTACTTTTGTTAACCAGTTTGATTCAACATTGATTACCACGTGTTAATGTTATGGTTCATGTGTTATTTGGACAGTATTCCATTAATAGTGTTTTAGAAAAATATATCAAATATGTTAAAACAAAATAGAAATTCCAGTAACAATTATGTACTTTCAGCCCTAGGAATGTGTTACTCAGATTCCATTCTGTACAATGCGCTATTTATGATGACTGCTATTTTTACCCAGACACAAAGAATTAAGTTTCGTATACTCATGTTTCCCCCAAGTTAAAGTAATTTCTTAACGGATGGCAACACACTTCAATATTTCCTTGCATTTTCAGGGCAGAAAACCTTTTAGTGGTCCCCCTCAAAGAGTACAATCTGGGAATAAACATATGTTACATGCAGATTTTGTACATACTTTTTAAAGATATGTTCAAATAAAATTATTGTCAGTATACACTGAACATATGTTCATTAAAAACATTTGAGAGATGTCCCTGAAGACTCTTTAGGAAATATATTCTGGATTGATAACACCAAAAAAAAAAAACTCTCGGAGAAACCAAATTTATTGTACTTTGGTACAACAGCTCACTTTTAAGAAGTGAGTATCACTGCTCAGATTTTACTTTGAAAGGCTCTATGATGTTTTAGTTTATATTCTGACCTACTACAAAAAAAAAAAAAAAAAAAAAAAGATTTACCCTAAGATAAATCCCTTTATTGGATGGAACAGCAACTCTCTAATTGACTTGAATGTATGATCTTTCAAATGTTAGGATAATTTAACCCCAGAATAATAATAATAAAGAACAACCTAGCTTCAGTGATGCAGCAATATTGAAGCCATCCTCAAGTTCAGTTCTAAAAATAGCCTGTTTCTTTCCTATAAGCAGGTGAAGTATAAAGTAGTTAAATTTTTAGACAGGCACTTAGGTAAACTGAGAAATGCATTTGGTGGACAACAATAATTAGTATAAAATTTTGATTTTAGAGTTTTCCTTTTTTTGCTGTCCTTCAGCTTTAAAGTACTTCAAAACTTACAGTAACTTTCACTACTGCATATAATGAAGAATGAGATGAAAATGCACTGTGGACAAAGTATGACAGCAGTTCATATCTAATAAAAATGCAAAATAATAAAAATATTACAGAAAAGCAGTAGTTTTGGGAATAGAAGTATTATTCAATATAAAATACTAATCTTTTGTCCCACCTCAATAGTTTCACCTGAAGCGGAGAGAGTACTTCACCAAGTTTAAATATGTGTCTCTGATAAAATTCTTTAGGAATATAAGTTACTGGCTCCGAAATTACACTTGTGCCATTATCCAATCAAAAGATCCTGATGTTATCTGTTGCAAATGACTAACATTTTTATCATCTGCCTGTGGATGACTTTTAGGATAGTAACATATTCATGATATGTTAAATTAAAAAGTCTTCTGTACAAGTGAAACTACTCTAAATGCATTAATATTTTAGCTGTACCTATACATTTTTGTAAAACAAATAAAGAGCTACGTGCCATAAAAAAACCTAGCAAACACCTTAATCAGAGCTAGACTATTTTTCCTCCATAAAATAAAGATGTATTCTATTTTAATTACTACCAATACTGTGAGAACTTTTCAAAATTAAAGTTTTATATTGCATGGATTTTAAGATACGTAGTTTGAAACATCATAAATTAAAGAAGGCAATTGAACAGCTGCAAAGACTCCTCATCTGAATTTTTACTATCTACAGGAAAAAACTGGGCTTTCCCAAAAACTGTTGATATCTGAAGGGTGATCCACATCGAGGATCTCCCTCGACATTAGCTGCAATTACTGTCCACTTAAGATTACAAATCTAGGAGGATGACCCAGGATATGTAAAGGAGCCTCAGACAGCAGAAGCTTTAAGAAAGAGAAACATTTCTGTAAAAATATTTGCATAGATGTACATTCAAAACAGCATTTTCACAATTTAAATTCCCTGCATTCATGTTGCTACAGTCATCCACAGGGATAAAGATCACATAAAGGCAGCCCTGGAATTTGAAATGGCGGTTGCTTGGTAATTTAGTGAAAGGTCTATTTTTGTACTTTCTGCAGTCATTAGGAAATGATCCAGTTTGACCTTTGGCTTACAGAAATTGTACTCCCCTGAGCTAGGCAATATTGATAGACTATAGCAGAAGTACAAAAAAAAAAGTTACTTAAAAATGGCATGAAGAAAATAAGGCACTTTTGGCAAGGAAAACCCCCAGATTTTGTATTTCGATGTACGGTAATTCTATCTAGAAGTATTTTGTGCTTAGAAACGTCACATGATGCAACAGTGAATCAGGTGCCAAAACCAACAAATCACAAACTACTACGAAATTAACCGCAACCTCTGGATGGTTCAACAAAGAATCAAACTGGTTTCTGTACACCATCATGGTTTACCGATACACTGGCATCTTTGCTCTTTTGCTGTGAGCTGACAGTAATTATTTTAGAGAAAGAAAAAGAAAGTGTGGAATTAGTAACGCAGATGCTGAAAGGCAAGTGGCAAGACTCTACAAGAAGAATGCCTCAAAAAAATGCTACTTTGTTCCCATTTCTACTGGCACCTATTCCCCAAGGTAAAAGGCCAGAATGACCAAAGCCAACTTAATAGTAGTGTGCAGAATGTCAGCCGACAAACAACATAAAAACAAGTCACGTTGTGTTATCTGTGGTCACGTTCTTCAGGGTTAGTCCAGTAACTCAAGACTTTACATTCTTCCGTCTTTCTTTGTTTATTTAAATTAAACATGTAATGGTTAATAAACAGACATAGTCCAGAGTTAGTAGGTTGGTATTATAACATTTATTAAAATAATGCTATGGGTTAATAGAAACAGCAAAGAACCAAAGAATTAAAATGCAAGCTATGTAAAAACCCAACTAAAACCCAAATATGTCTAATGTATTCATCCAGTAGCTAACTAAAAGCCCAAGAAAGACAACACTCCCAATATAATAAAGTACTGCAAAACAATTGGCAATTTTTCAGTTATCAAAATTGTGGGTTTTGCATTTTGTATCCTTTTTTCTCAATCAGGAAAAAAATTCTTTTGAATGTTATATAACATACATATAAAACAAGATAGAAAAATACATTATAAACTTGTAACAATGGCTGTAAATACATTATCTTACATGTTTCTCATAGGCAATAGGTTGGTTATGGTACATACATAGCATGAAACTACTAAGATAATAAAGAATAGACAAATACATGTCATCTGTACGGTTACATACAAGCGACACTCCCATCTACCCACTCTAAAAAAATTACATAATACTGTCAGAAAGAAGTCTTAAAACTACTTATTTTAATAAAGAAAAAGTCATTAAAGAATGATAATACTGAGAACCAAGGCATTCAGAGATTTCAAAAGTCATGCTTTTTTTTTTTTAAGTTGATCCAAAATTTTGTCAACAAAGTTTTCAGAAGCTTGTTCAGAGCAAACATTACTTTCACATGTCACACATCTATTTCATACACTTCCCCTCCCCCCCAGTAAAAGACCTTTGATAAACATCTAAAATGTCCAGGTTTTATCATAGTTGAGATGAAACTGGATCAAATACTGGTATTGTTTTAGCAAATCTCTCTTCAAATGTTCGAGTGTCGCAAGTTTATTCAACCAACCAACCAAAATAAAATCAAAATGGCACAGCATATACTGTAAGTAAAATCAACACAACTGTATGTGTAACAGGAAGACAAAGCCGGTGGCACAATAAACAAAAAGCTAGCTGAATACAAAAGGATGAATGTCTATTGCATAGTAAATAAACTGATAATTATTTCCAGGTGAGACAAGATGTTAGATGAGGTCACCATGCAGGTGCTTAAAAATGTAAGCCCTCTTAGCTTACTATTGACCTTTCACTTGGAAGCTGTGAAGATTTGTAGGAGGAGAATAAGTTGACAAGAGGGGAATAAAGTTATCACCTGATATTTGCCAAGTTCAGTACTGAGTCCCATGCGAAGTAATACTTAATGTTTTCAGAATTGAATACTGTGCATTCAACAGCTTCAGCTCTTGCAATTGCCCAGCTATATGAATCTCATGTGGAAATACAGGTTAAAAATAAGTATAGCTGGACTTCAAACAATTAGCTGATGTCCCTCTCCTGCTTATCTTATGAAGACAAGCCAGCAGGCAGATCTAACAGTAGTAAAAGAAGAGCTGAAAAATAAATAACTTGCATGCTGTTTGCCACTGCAGGAACTGCTTGTGAAAACCAGGGACACGCTCCGACTATAACTGAAAACTAGCTGAGCATTTTAATTTAATTATCCACAGAACATCAGTTTTCTGGGTGACGCCGAAGCCTACTATATTTGATGTACATTTACTCCAACGAAAATCAGGAAAACTACTCTCCATCCCTGAACAAAAATGACATGCTTCCAGCTCTACAAACATTTGCCAGCTAATAGTCTCATTTAGCATGAGACAGTCTGTATCACAAAACCCTTTGGTTTACATTGCACAAGAACGGCATTTGCTATGATTTAAAAAGTAGAGTGGTTGAAATAATGATGGGCTGGTTTGACAAAAACTTAGCAAATGTTTTACGTAATGAGATTTTGGCAAAGTCACATCACACTAGTATGGCAAAAATCAGGTAATTAATATGGTCAACTCATCATTTGTCTTTCCTCACAGCTTCTTTCACATACTGGGCGACTGAGTGGCATGCAGTAACTTGTCTGAGGGAGAAGCTGATTATACAAGACATTTGACTAAATGACCATGAAGAAAATAAGGCACTTCCTTTTCTTTAGACTTATTCCAATACTTAAAAAATAAAAAAGAAAGACTAAAAGGCTCTTTTGGTCTTTTGTTTCTTGACAACCACCAGAAAAAATCATTTAATGAAATAAAGGGTTTCTTTGTTCTTTTTTTCTTTTTTTATAACACTTGAAAGTATAAAATGCTACATTTCCAAAAATATATTTTTTTTTTCTGCACCAGCACCCTTGTATAGTAAAAGTATCTACTTTTTTGTTCATTTTGTTTCAATGCACTACACTTTATCTACAATTTCATTACATGTATACAGCAAATAGGCAAGCATGGCTTTTACATCCTTAATGAAATTTTTTCTATACAGGGAGGTTTAAAAAAAATATTTGAACAGTTTGCCCAGTAATGTGACACATAATGCATGTACCTTGTTCTCATGTAATCTTCTGAGGAGATTAAAATATGGTTAAAATAATTTAAACTCAGACTTTGCTTCAATAGTGTTGCTGTTTTGTTCTCTGCATTAGCGTAGTTCTGAAAAGTCATCGTAATCTGCATTTCATGGCACACTTTCCTTTAAAACGTCCAATTTGGCAGGCAATAGAAAAAAGGCTGCATCTGCCCTTTGAGGGCATTGGTAGTGACTAAACAGCGTATCAAATTTTGAATACTTTTTGGAATCCCTTCCCCAATGACTTCCCTGACCAAAGGTTCATGCATGATGCATCATCACACAGTACATTCAGAGAGAGCTTTGACTTCTTTTTTTTTTTTTTTTTTTTTTTTTTAAAAGAAAAATATTCCTAGAAGTCTCTCACAGTAACTGCCTCTGTCATCGGGTAGTTAAGGGACATCTGCCTCCATCTCGTGCGAGGCCTCCTTACCGTTCGCTTGGGGCGGGACACTAGAGGATGATCAGTGCGGAGGGATGAGTTGGACCTTATTGCTTTACTACTATTCAGTGCAGGTTCTAGAACCACTTTCACCCAAACAGGAGAACAACAAAAAGCGGAGTTGGAGGACAACAATTTCTTTGTCTGTTTTGTTAGATGGTAAGACGAACGGACAAGTGCCCCCGCTCGCTGCACTGAAGACAGGCAAGCAAAGGCGTTTACCAGTTAACTGATCAGCAGGCAGGCATGGTCAGGTCATCATTGGGTGAAGAGTTCAGAGGTCAGAAGGTCATAGGTTAGTTGCCGGTGGCGGCTGGGTGGTTAGAAACAAAAAAAAAAACAAAACAAAAAAAAGAAAGAAAAGATAGAGAAGAGATTAGTTCCAGCTAGTGACGGCTTAATGACAACATGAAAACTAATCACAACTAATAACAAAACCAAGCATGTTTAATTCTGACATACTGATCGACACCATCTACAGAATGCAATAAAATCATGACAGCCCTCCATCATGATTTGGACACGTGAAGGAGAAGCCCGCTCCCACAAAACCGGTTAACAGGAGAAATAGAGATAAAATACGACTAACGACTAATGGTTAGTAGCAGTCGATGAAGGAAATTGGAAAACAAAAAACGATGAACAGTTTTGGAACTGGGTAGAAGATTTCTGGAACAACAGTCAGTGCACAGCATCAGTATCTGACTGCTATTAAGCATTAGTACCTCCCCAGGTGCAAGCATTAAAGCAACTATTAATGATGGATGTGATTATTAATAACTGGTTGTTAAAAGAATGGAGTCATCTAAGGAATTCTGAACTTAGAGAAACAATTTGGTTCAACAAACTATGGGCCAAACAAAGGGTTTTTGTTCCATAAATTTTTTATTGCCTTTCATTTATTCTATTTACAAACAACATGGAATTTCTTGGCCTCATGATACAAAGCAATACTAAACTGTAGTCTAGCAACGTAGGCATCATCGTGGGAACCAGGAAAACGCTCAGCCTGCTACTTTAGCCAGCATTTTCCTGTTCGAAATACTATTTTACACATATAGGACACTTATAAAATGCAGTTGCATGTAAACACTGTAAAAGTCCTGCCATTTTAAAGTCTATACTTAAAAAGCTCTAAGTACATCAAAAAATAGAGAAAATATCTAATTGATACTAATAAGGCATTTTAAAACTACAAACAGCTCTCTTTATTCATTTTCAAAGCTAATACTCTGCAAATACAATAAAATCTGACATTTCATATACAT